ACTGGACTGAGCTGAAGTCTAACACATGAGATGTATCGCCGTGATACTTCCGGAGAATGGAAACATGGAACACTGGATGAACTACAGAGAGGCTAGGTGGTAGTGCAAGTCTACGCCACCTCTCCAACTCTCTTAAGAATCTCAAAAGGCCCAATATACCTAGGGCTCAACTTGCTCTTCTTCCCGAACCTCATAACACCCTTCATAGGCGAAACCCTGAGCAAGACCCGCTCACTAGCCATGAATGCAACATCATGAACCTTCCGATCCGCATAACTCTTCTGTTTAGATTGGGTTGTAAGATGTCGATCCTGAATCAATTTAAACTTTTCCAAAGCATCCTGAACCAGGTCTGTATCCAATAGTCTAGCCTCGCCCGGTTCGAACCAACCCACTAGAGACCGGCACCGCCTACCATACAAGGCCTCATGCGGAGCCATCTGAATGCTCGACTGGTAGCTGTTGTTGTAAGCAAACTCCGCAAGTGGTAAGAACTGATCCCAAGCACCCCCAAAATCTATCATACTCGCACGAAGCATATCTACTAGTATCTGGATAGTGCCGCTCGGACTCTCTGCCCGTCTGAGGGTGAAATGTTATACTCAACTCCATACGAGTACCCAACTCTCGCTGTATAGCCCTCCAAAACCATGATGTAAACTGCGTACCCCATTCAGAGATGATAGATACCGGTACGCCATGAAGTCTGACAATCTCGCTAATATAGACCTGAGCCAGGTGTTCCGAAGAGCAAGTAGTAACTACAGGAATGAAATGGGTTGATTTGGTCAACCCATCCACAATCACCCAAACTGCATCGAACTTTCTCTGAGTTCGTGGGAGCCCAACAACGAAATCCATAGTGATCCGCTCCCATTTCCATTATGGAATCTCTAACTTCTGAAGCAATCCACCCGGTCGTTGATGCTCATACTTCACATGATGTCAATTTAGGCACCGAGCTACATATTCCACTATATATTTCTTCATCCGCCTCCACCAATAGTGTTATGTCAAGTCCTGATATATCTTTGTAGCACCCGGATGAATGGAGTACCATGAACTGTGAGCCTCCTAGAGAATCAACTCATGCAAACCATCTACATTAGGCATACATAGCCTGCCCTGCATTCGTAATACATTGTCATCTCCAATAGTGACTTCTTTGGCATCATCGTGCTGAACTGTGTCCTTAAGGACAAGCAGATGGGGGTCATCATACTGACGCTCCCTGATACGATCATACAGAGAAGACTGAGAAACCACACAAGCCAAAACTCGTCTCGGCTCGAAAACATCCAATCTAACAAATTGGTTGGCCAAGGCCTGAACATCCAAGGCTAAAGGCCTCTCTACTACTGGTAAGTATGCTAAGTTGCCCAAACTCTCCGCATTATGACTCAAGGCATCGGCCACTACATTGGCCTTTTCGGGATGGTAGAGAATGGTGATATCATAATCCTTAAGCAACTTCAACCACCTCCGCTGCCGTAAATTAAGACACCTCTATTTAAATAGATGTTGTAGACTCCGGTGGTCGGTATAAGCCTCACAATGGACACCGTATAAATAATGCCGCCAAATCTTCAACGCATGAACAATAGCTACTAACTCAAGGTCGTGGACCAGATAATTCTTCTCATGTACCTTTAACTGTCTGGATGCATAGGCAATCACCCTACCATCTTGCATTAATACTGCGCCGAGACCAATACGCGACGCATCACAATACATATTATAAGACCCTGAACCTATAGGCAATACCAATACTGGGTCTGTAATCAAAGCTGTCTTGAGCTTTTGAAAGCTCTCCTTACATTCCTCGGCCCACCTGAACGGAGCACCCTTCTGGGTAAATTTAGTCATAAGTGCAGTAATAGAAGAGAAACCCTCTACAAATTGGCGATAATACCCTGCCAAACGAAGAAAACTCCGGATCTCGGTAGGTGATGATGGTCTGGGCCAACTCTGCACCACTTCAATTTTCTTCGGATCTACCTTAATCCCTTTGCACGAAACTATATGACCCAAAAATCCCATTAAATCAAGCCAGAATTCACACTTTGAAAATTTTGCACATAACTTCTTTTCTCTCAAAGCTTGAAGCACAGTCCTTAAGTGTTGTTCATGATCTTGCCGACTCCGGGAATACACCAGAATGTCGTCAATAAACACAATGACGAAAGAATCAAAATAGGGCTGAAATACACTTTTCATTAAGTGCATAAATGCTGCTGGGGCATTGGTTAGCCCAAAAGACATCACAAGGAACTCGTAATGACCGTACCAAGTCCTGAAAGCAAACTTCGGGATATCTGGTTCCCGAATTTTCAACTGATGATAGCCTAAATGCAAGTCGATCTTAGAGAACACTCTAGCACTCTGAAGCTGATCAAATAGGTCATCAATACGTGGCAATGGATACCTGTTCTTCACTATAGACTTGTTCAGGTGGCGGTAATCAATGCACATCCGCATAGAACCATCCTTCTTCTTCACAAATAAGACAGGAGCACCCCAAGGCGATACACTGGGCCGAACAAAACCCTTATCAAGCAATTCCTGTAACTGCTCTTTTAATTCTTTCAATTCTGCTGGGGCTATACGATATGGTGGAATAGAAATGGGCTGAGTGCCCGGTAACAAATCAATGCCAAAGTCAATATCCCTGTCGGGTGGCATACCCGGAAGATCTGCTAGAAATACATCAGGAAAATCCCTTACTACAGGAGCTGACTCCACTGTAGGAGTATTAATACTAACATATCTCATATAGGCCAGATACATATCACACCCCTTCTCAACCATTCGTTGAGCTTTAATAAATGAAACAACTCTACTAGGAACATAATCCAAGGTACCTCTCCACTCTAGCCGTGATAGACCTGGCATAGCCAACGTCGTCGTCTTGGCATAGCAATCAAGGATAGCGTGATAGGGCGACAACCAATCCATACCCAAAATAATATCGAAATCCACTATACTGATCAATAATAAATCAGTTCTGGTCTCAAAATCACTGATAACAATTAAACACGGCCGATACAGGCGGTTCACAATAATAGATTCACCCACGGGTGTAGATACATAAACAGAAGAACTCAAAGAATCACGGGATACGCCCAAATCCGGGGCAAAATAAGATGACACATAAAAATAAGTGGAGCCTGGATCAAACAAGACTGATGCATCTCTATGACATACCGGAATAATATATGTGATAACAGAATCAGATGCAACGGCCTCTGTCCTAGCAGGAAGGGCATAATATCTGGCCTGGCCTTCCCCTCTAGGGCAACCTCTACATGTCCGACCTCCAACTCTAGCAGGCTGTGCATGTGGGGTGGCAACTGGTGCAGTAATCATGGCCTAAGAAGCCCGAGGGCCCTGTGGAATGGGTGGGGCCTGAGAAATCTGTGAAGGTGCACCCCTCCTAAATCTGGGGCAATCCCTCATTATATGACGAGTGTCACCACACTCAAAACAGGCCCTCAGAGGACGTGGCTATTGAAAGCACCCCGTACAAGAGGTACAGTAGACACCGGCGGTGCATAATATGGAACTTGGGGTCTGGGAGTAGCCAAAATAATGCTGGAAGCTGGAAGTGCTGAATGAATAGGACGGGTCACATAGCCTCTTCCATGACGGGCTGCAGCTGGGGCACGGAAATTGTTATATGTGCCAAAATCCCGAGGTCTCTTAGCTTCCCTCTTTTCTCTCTCTCGAGTCCATATACCCTCCAATCTCCTAGTAATTGACACCACCTATTGATATGTGATGTCCACCTCTAGTTCTCGGGCCATACTGAATCTGATACTAGGGTGGAGCCCTCGATAAATCGACGAACCCGCTCTCAAACAGTAGCAACCAAGGCTGGTGCATGCCTAGCCAAATCACTGAATCAGACCGCATATTCCGACACGGTCATAGAACCCTGGCACAACTACTCAAACTCTGCGCGCCATGCATCTCTAAAACTCTGAGGAACATACTCCCTCAAGAACATATCTGAAAATTGAGTCCAAGTGAGTGAAGCTGCCTCAGCCGGACTATCCAACTCGTATGCCCGCCACCACTGGTAGGCCGCTTCTCGAAGCTGGAATGCCGTGAAAGAAACCCTACTATAATCCACAATACCCATAGTACGGAGGATACTGTGACATTCCTCAAGAAAACCCTGAGCATCCTCTGAAGCTAAACCGCTGAAAGTGGGAGGGTGGTACTTCTTGTACCTCTCGAGCCTGAGCTGCTCCCTCTCTGAAACTGCTGCCCTAACCTCGGGCCGAACTGGAACAACTGGCTACACTGGTATAACCTCTGGGGCATGGTCAACCTGGGCCCGTGGCTCTAGGGTACGGGCGGCGGGAGTCTGTGCTCCTCCCCCGGCCTGAGATGTGACAGGAGCAAGTGGAATTAGCCCTGCCTGAGCTAGAGTGCCAAACATGCTCAAAATCAGGGCAAGAGTCTCCTGAAGTGCAGGGGTAGTAACAGGTGTCTCAGGTGCCTGCTCTCCAACTGGAGCTACTGGTGGCTCCTCTGCAGCAGCTCGTGCAGTTTCCCTGGCTGCACCACGTGGTCTTCCTCGGCCTTTGGCACGACCTCTGTCCCGACCCCGGCCTCTTGCGGCTCCAACAGGGAGCGCGAGTGTCTGATCATCGGATCCAGTTGTGCGTGGCCTCACCATCTGTGAGAGAATATAAAGACAATGGTTTAGATCTTCGAAGTCAAAAACTGCGCATGATAAGAAATCAAAGAAGTGAATATTCCCTAACAGTTCCATAGCCTCCCGAAGATAAGTACAGACGTCTCCGTACCGATCTGCGAGACTCTACTAAACCTGCTTGTGACTCATAACACCAATGAACCTAGAGCTCTGATACCAACTTGTCACTACCCCAAATTCTCTCCGTAGGATGTCGTGATGACACCTAGTCTCTAAGACTAGGTAAGCCTATCAATGCGGAATAACAATAGAAATCTAAAATAAATAAATCTGCAAATTCACATAAGTACAACTCCTAGAACCCGGTAGAAATAAGTCACACGCTTCTAATAATTTATTCTAAGTGTCTCTATACATCAGAGTCTAAAGGAAATAAGAAAGACAACATAATAAGATAAAAGGGGACTCCGGAGCCTGCGGACGCTGGCAGATATACCTCGAAGTCTCCTCATACGGATAATTCACTAACGTCTGGTCTGATAAGATATACCTAGATCTGTACAAAAAGATATGCAGAAGCATAGTATGAGTACACCACAGCGGTACCCAGTAAGTGCCAAGCCTAACCTCGTTAGAGTAGTGACGAGGTCAGGTCAGGCTCTACTGGAATAATAAAAGACAGGGAGAAACGTTTAACAATATAATAACAATAATGGCAATAGGGATAAATCAAGTAAGTAGTATGTCACAATTTAACTACACAGAATAAGAGCAATTAACACCTTGCAAAAGGAAAACAAAAATTTATAACTTTAAGGAAAACACCAAAAATAACCAAAGGCAATGCAGCCATAAAGAAATATCAACAAGGGCACTCCCGAGGTACCGCCTCGTAGTCCCAAATCATAAATAAATTTACAATATCTCATTTCATTATATCACAACAGGAGCCTTCACATTTAATTTTAAAGAAAATATTTTTCCCGAAATAACATCCCGCATTTTAGCCACCCTTATTATACCGAAACACTTCTAGTAGTTTCCCTATTAGCTACGCGTATCAAGCCACCCTTATCTCACCGCATGCGTTTCAACACCCAGACCTTATACCACCGCATGCATATCCATGTCACAATATATCACAATTTGTACCTCAATTTCCCAAATATTCAACTTACCAAAATAAATCAACAATAATATTTTTCCACAATAAAGAGCTCATGGCTCATGCCAAAATAAATCAACAACAAAAATATTTTTTCACAATAAAGATCTCACATCTCAATCACAATGGGTACAAAAAACTCACAAAAATATTTAGCAAAAATAATATTTCACAAATTTAATACCTTGTCTAAATATCAAAATTTTAAATATAAAATACTTTATTTTTAATAATATTTAAATTTAAGATATTTATCCTTCAAATAATACACTGAACAAAAAAAATAGAGTTTCAACTAAACATGTAACACACTTAGCAGGAACAGGTCGGGCAAATTTAAAATACAAAAATATATTAATGATGATGAATATAACAGAATAAAATAATTTAATTAATATGCAACAGTGCTCTACATAATTTAAAGATATAATCTTCCATATTTATTTCGTGTACACACTCGCCACCTCGTGTACACGACTTTTAACACATCAACATTTTCATATCAATACCAATCCTAAAAGAAATTTTTCCCACACAAGATTAGACAAGCAACACTCAAACCACGCTCAATCAGTCAAGTAGTATGTCTTTTCCGCGATTTTTCGACTCCGATCGGCTCGAATCTTGTCATAATTAATTCGATTCAATCAATACAAATTATAGAAATAAAATCCATATGAAAATATAAATTTTCTAACAAAATCCGAAATTTAATCCAAAAATTGCTTGTGGGACCCACGTCTCGGAATCTGACGAAACTCACAAAACCCGATAACTCATTCAATTACGAGTCCAACCATTCTAATTTCACTCAAATCCGACTCCGAATCGACACCGAAATCTCAAAAATTTATTTTATGAGATTTCTAAATTTTTCCCCAAATTTTCGTCTCAAAACACTAATTAAATGATGAAAATAATGATATATTCGTGTATATTGACCAAATCCGAGTTAGAATCACTTACCCCAATATTTTTCCTTGAAAATCTCTGAAACATCGCCTCTCCCAAAGCTCCAATTTGTCAAAAATGCAAAATGGGACGAAGCCCCCGTTTTATAACTCTAAGTCTCTGTCGAGACGCTGCCCTCGATTTCTTGACCTCGATTTTCATCCTTGATTTCCATCCTCAATTTCCAATCTCGATATACAGCCTCGATTTACAGCCCCGATTTTCTGACCTCGATTTCCTCCTCGATTTTTGACCTCTATTTTTGACAGATGAAGGAAACCAGATTTGCCAAAAACCAGCAAACTCAACTTGAGCAATCTCCCAACTTTAATTCTTGATTCGGTAACCATCCGAAACTCACCCGAGGCCCTCGGGACCTCAACCAAATACACCAATAAGTCCTACAACATCATACGAACTTATTCGAAATCTCAAATCACATCAAACAACGCTAAAACTATGAATCATACTCCAATTCAAGTTTAATGAAACTAAAAATTTTGAACTTCTACATTCGATATCGAAACCTATCAAATCAAGTCCGATTGACCTCAAATTTTGCACACAAGTCATAAATGACATAACAGAGCTATAAAAATTTTCAGAACTAGATTTCGACCCCGATATCAAAAAGTCAATTCCCCGGTCAAAATTCCCAAAAAATCAACTTTCGCCATTTCAATCCAAATTTCACTACGGACTTCCAAAAATTTTTCAAACACGCTCCTAAGTCCAAAATCACTATACGGAGCTATTGGAATCATCAAAATTTTATTCCGAGGTCGTTTACATATAAGTCGACATCCGGTCACTATTTGAACTTAAGCTTTAAACCTTGGAACTAAGTGTTTCAATTCATTTCAAAATCTCACCGGACCCGAACCAATTACCCCGGCAAGTCATATAACAGTTGTAAAGCATAAATTGAGCAGTAAATGGGGGAACGAGGTTGTAATACTCAAAACGACCAGACGGGTCGTTACAGCCTCATTAGGAAACATGACTGTCAATAGCAAAATGACCAGTTTGTGAGTGATTTCAGCCTAAGTTTCAGCTAAGTAGCCAATCAAAGAGCAACAGGTAACAACGGAGAAATATAGGTAATCGGATTTTGGCAAACAAACAAAGTCATGAAGAAAATCAAACAAATATTACAGCAATGATTCAAATTTTATTATAAAACAACAACAAATCAACATTTTTTGAAGAATCGGAGACTTGAATTCATGATTCAGTATTTGTGTGCAGAAAACAGCTTAGAAAATGCCAAATAAATGCTGAGTGAAAGAAATTTGAAGCTCCGCAAACAGCTCCAGTAACAATCAGCAGTGAACAACACTTTCAGGCACAAAATATTCTTCAAAATCCCAGAAGATATGATGTAACGATCAAAAATAGAAAGCAACTTTTGAATCTCTTTTTTGGGGGTGGTTTTTGTTTAATTTTCTGGAGTTTTGTTCTTCAGATTTGAAAATTTGTTCTCAAATTTCAGACCTCTTTCCAAACATGAGAGAGAGAGAGAGAGAGAGTGAGCCTGTGAATGCTTGTGAGTGTAGAATGTGTATCTGAGATATGCAAAAATGAGAGAATTTATAGAAAATATCAGACCTCAATTTGGGAAAAAAAACATCTTTTGTAATAGAGTTTTTATAGTTGTACCTTCTGTTATTTCTCTTTCCTTATTAGTCCTTTTCTTTTCTGTATTTACTCCTTTCATCCCCAAATCCCACGACCTTCCTCTTTTCTTTACCATTTTATTGCTATTTGATCACTTTCCACACTCTTGTAGAACTTTCCAGTCAGTTATATGAAATATGCTCTCAATTTAATCTCCTAAATGCCCTTTTAAACTCTAGCTATTTACCTAAGGACCTAATTTCATAGACCTGGGGTCATGTGACCTTAGATCAAAGGCCCATAGACTTCAATTGAACTCCCATTCCCTATTACCCCAACTTCAATTTAATGGGCCTAACCAAATCAAACAAAATTAGGCCCATACCTAAACTAAAATAAAGCGGACAGACTGAACCAATACTCATATTAATGAAATCAGCAAACATTAATTAATAATCAAATAAATTCTAAGACCTAATTCGAACATGTAATCAACTTCAATCTAAATAGGCAATATCAGATTCATGAGCTAATCAAGCAATCAATCATCATTTTAAATTAATTGATAGTTAACAACAAATCATTATCTATTATTTACCTAAACATTTTGAGGAAAAAGGAATTACCTCTTGAACGAATCCTAGCCGAAGCACAAATTCCGGCCGGCAATGGTCAGTGCCCCGTGGCCACAGGTTTGAGCTTAGAAGCTCATCCTGTGATGCATGGAACACTGTCCATCGCAAGTCGGAAGAAGACGGTGAAGCTGAGTGGTGATTGGGGTGGTCAACAGTTCTTGACCGTTCACCGATGATCGCGAACTATCATAAAACTGCCATGAAATGACAGTACTCAATACGATGAGTAGATTGGTGTAAGTTTTGATATCAAAATGAGCAAATATTGGAAAGAAATTTATAGAGGGATGGATTAGAGTTTTCTGAGGATGCCCAGATCTGAAATCCGCAGAGTTTTGGTTGTTTACTTGGGAAATTGATTGGAGATTAGGAATGAGGAGGGCGTGGAGATTTTGTGGTTAATATTTGAGGGCATTTGGTGGTGGGCCTCCGCCGTGGGACGATTTCTGGCTGCGGCGAGGCGGAGGGTGAGAGATGATGAGGGAGAGGGTTTGAGAATGTGTTTGGGGGGTATGGGGTTCGATCTCTCAAACAGTTATATGTGATATGGGTGCTTAGTTCCCATCTGTTGGATAAGATGAGATGAATGGCCAGGATTGACTGTGACAAAAACAGTGTCGTTTGATTAAAAGGGAACTTGGACGGGAATATGGTAGTGGGTCTTGACAGATTTGGAGCAACTGGGCCGTTGAAAAGGTTTGGGCCCTATCACAATAAAAGACAGGCGACCCTTTTGATTTCTTTTGCTTTTTCAACTAAGGGATCAATTGATTTTTAAATTGTAGCCACTTATTAATCCAATTTAATCCTGATTTTGCAAAATGAAACTATTAACTACTTTTCTAACAATTGACTAATTATTAACTAACAATGTATGTAAAGTGACTAATGTATTTTTGATATTTTAGTATTTTATAAATGCAACTAACATGTAATTTAAAGGCTAGTAATTGCAATTATAATCTAAAATGTAATGCATTAAAGAATAAAATATTTTTGGCCTTTTCATGATATAAAGTGCTTCTAAATATGCATAAAAATGCAAAACAAATTAACTAAACTAGAGAAAAATTTCTAAAATTCTATAAAAGAAAATAAAACTATTTTAAAATATTTTCAAGAGTAATTTGGCATTAGGGCAAAAATTACATGCTCACAGCTGCCCCTCTTTACTTGAGAACATGAAAATTTTTCGGACAAAGATAAAGTGAGCAATTATGAACAAATTTTTGCCCGTCTGATACTCCATGGGAAGTATTTTGGAAACGTTTGACCGAACTTTGCTTCGGAGATTGCCTATATATTCCTGGCTATAAAGGAATCAGGTTAGTGTAGTTATGAAAGTTTTGGTAGCTGGGACTACCGTAAAAGCTGTGATTTCACTGCTGCTGCCACTTGCTGAACTCCTTATTACACCAAAATCAAAATCAAATGTAACTAAACAAGCCTATCCGCTATGAGTTACAAAATTCCTATATATAAGTCTTGTGAAGCTTGATCTTGAGTCTTGACTGGTTATTCATGCCGATTTTGATATGAACCTTGATGCGTTCTAGTTGCAGGTGCTAGTTCATTCTTCTATGGCTTCTTTTGATCAAAAAGGGAAATTCAATGCTCATGACTTCAGTCATGTCTTGAGCATTCCACATCTTTTCATCTGCTTCAGTATTTTGGATTCACTTCTTTGCTCTTTTCCTTTCTTTGTTCTGGATTGAGATTTCTTCTTTTGGTCATCTCGAACCTTATGCCTCGAGGTAAAACCTGCTTATACACCAAAATAAAACAAACGAACAAAATATTTTTGCCCCAGTTTTTACTAGGAAAATTTTGTGAGTTATTTGTAACAAAAATTCTAAACTACTCAATTATTGAAAGCAATAAAAAGGTCGTTGGTGTACCCTGGGAAAGCATGATTCTTTGTACCCTGATTGTCTAAATGGTGTCTTAACTAAGGATTATTGTGCTTTATGTTAGAAAAATGTGGCTAGGGAACGGTGTACCCTATATTTGGAATGATATCAGAGAGTGGTGTACCCTGCATTTAAGATCAAATCAACTACGGGGTGGTGTACCCTATGTTGGAAAATATAGCTAGGGATTGATGTACCTTATATTGGCAAAAACTAGGGAATTGTGTACCCTATATTTGGAATAGTATCAGGGAGTGGTGTACCCTGCATTTCAGCTCAATCAAATAGTAATGATACCAGGGAGTAGTGTACCGTGCATTTAAGATCAATTGATAATGATATCAAGGAGTGGTGTAACGTTCATTTAAGATCAACTCAACTAGGGAGTGGTGTACCCTATGTTGGAAAATACAGCTTGAGATTGGTGTACCTTATACTGGTAAGGAAACTAGGGAGTGATGTACCATATGTCTAAAATATCATCAAATAGGGAGTGATGTACCTTATGTTGGAAAACACAGCTAGGGATTGTTGTACCCTATACTGGTAAGTAGACTAGGGAGTGGTGTAACCTTTTATCTAAAATATGATCAACTAGGGAGTGATATACCCTATGTTGGAAAGCATAACTAGGGATTGGTGTACCCTATACTGATAATGAGACTAGGGAGTGGTGTACCCTATGTGTAGGAATGATATCAAGAAATGATGTACCTTGCATTTAAGCTCTTTCAATAAAGATATTAGGGAGTGGTGTACCCTGCATTTAGGCTCAATCAATTAGGGAGTGGTATACCTTATATTGGAAAACACAGCTAGGGATTGGTGTACCCTATACTGGTAAGGAGACTAGGGAGTAGTGTACCTCATGTCTAGGAATGGTATCAGGGAATTGTGTACCGTACATTTAAGCTCTATCAAGTAGGAGGTGGTGAACCCTATGTTGGAAAACACAGCTAGAGATTGGTGTACCCTATACTAGTAAAGAGACTAGGGAGTGGTGTACCCTATGTCCAAAATAACATCAACTAGGGAATAGTGTACCCTAAGTTAGAAAATATAACTAGGGATTGGTGTACCCTATACTGGTAAAGAGACTACGGAGTAGTGTACCTTATGTCCGAAATAACATCAACTAGGGAATGGTGTATCCTATGTTGGAAAATGCAGTTAGGGATTGGTGACCCTATACTACCATGACTTTGAATTTTGATTTTGATTTTTTATTTTTTTTAGATAATGAGTAAAATGCGGGAAATAATTTTGAGAAGACTTCCCTTTTGTCACGACCCAAATCGATGGGCCGAGACGGGCACCTGGTACCGTACTCAACCGAGTACATAACGTAACGTATCTTCCTTATTACAGCATCATAGGTAAGTGGGCCACAAGGGGCGTCATGAGATAATCAGAGTAAACATGAGGGAATACCCGACATAGAACAAACCAACCTGATATAGAAACTCATATTTATGACATACAGGCCTATAAGGCCAATGTGATCCATTATATACTTAACATATAGGCCGACAAGGCCATACAAGTATCCGTATACATGACATCTGTCTACAAGCCTCTAAGAGTATACACTTATCATAAAGGTCGGGACAGAGCCCCGCCATTCCAAATAATATACGTCTAAATCATACCGACCAAACAAGCAACTTCGGAGCAAATGGAACGCACCAACATCTTCCGCTGAGGTGATAGCCTACTTGGAGGACTCTCGACCTGTCTATCGAGACCTGCGGGAATGAAACGCAGCATCCCCAGGTAAAAGGAACATCAGTACAAATAATGTACCGAGTATGTAAGGAATGAAATTCAATAAATAATAGACAATAGACGTAAGAGATACATGGAGTAAAAGACTCGACATGTATATCTGAATATCTCTGTGAATCATTTAATATTATAATGTCATGCATATGCGTATAAATGTCATACCATGCATGAGTATATGCGTTCATAACATCATCAAGCCTCTGAGGGCATCCCATCATATCATCTCGTCCACTGTGGGCAATTCATCAACGTTTACCAGCTGATCAGGTGGTGGTGCGTATATAACGCCGTAACCTTTTCCATATCCCATATACATATATATATATATATATATATATATATATATATATATATATACGCATATATAACGCCATCTGGTCATAGGTCACTGTGCATGTATAAATGCATGAAATGCATATGAAACACGTTAATACGATTTCTCGGAATGTTATAAAAATAATATGCCTGTCGGATAAACTTTATCAAATACGTATTTTTCTCAGACCCATGAACAGAAGATATAATAATAATTCACATGAAAAATCAAGAATATAGACACCCTTATTATTTCTATGAATAAAGTTATTTATGAAAGTTGTGCATTTGCTCGTTTCGTTCGTCATATAGATCATGCCAAAAAGAAAGAAGGGATAACCTTAACATACTTTTAAGGCCAACTTTCTACTTGTATCCATGAACAATCCCCTCCACGCCTCAATCTTATATGCCAAAACTAGTCTTCTTCCACGTTACTTCACTACAAGAAAGTCTCCAATTTGCAATTATCCGAAGGAAATTGATGTGTGTATAATATCTATGTTGTTTTCTGCATTTGCCTCAATCATAAAACTTAGTATCCAAGAAACGAAATCCTTTTCCAAATATCATGTTGCTGAAGGCATAACCAATGCTACATTAATTCTTGAAATCAATAGGCAAGTAGAGGAAATCATATTTATTCTTATGAGTCTCGTCAATGTTTGCTGTGAGTAGAATCTTTTAAGTGTACTTGTTTGGGATGTTTTTAAGTATTGAAGTAGTCCTACTATCTTCTCCGAGACTCATTTTATTCATGCCACCTATCTCTATACATATATAAAGCAGGGGAATACAAATCTGACGTAGCATCTATCAAATGTCAGGCTTTGTATTTATCTCTTTTCTTAGAGCTTTCCCTTTTTTAACGAAGAAAAAATAGTTTCCTGATAAAAATTAAAGTCCCGTCTTTTTTCTAAATTCCATCGGTTACACTCATATGTCAAAAAGCAAAAAACCCAACAGTCGCTTCTGCTTAAATTCCTTCCATAACATCGCTCACTCTCCTCTCTTAATTGCCATACGTGTCTTTCTCTTCAATCCTCTGTGTTTTAGTACTCTTCTTTTTTCTCAATCGCCACAGAAGAGTTGTTTCTCTCAATTCTCAAGGTAAATCTCTTCTTTATGATTTTGGAACATAGTTATTCTCTTTCATGTTTGGCTTGTTTTCTCTGCGTTATACCTGCAACATGAATGTATCTCTATTTATCTATTTTTAATTTTAATATTTAGATTTTATCTATTTGTTATTCAACTTCTGAAATATTTCGCTAAATTTTTAATCGTTGCTTATCGCAAGTGCTTACCAAGTTTATTCTGTGAAAAAAATAAAATTAACAGAGCATGTTTATGTTGATGCCCATGAAGTGCTCGACAAAAAAAGCCCTATAGAGGTACAATTCAAACGGCTGCAGGACAAACCACTCAACAAATGCAGGTCAGTTATTCTTTTACACCTTGTATAGTTAATAGTTGGGACAAAAAAGGAACAAACGACCTT